GAAAAGCTGAAACTAGCATCCTAGGGTAGTGTAGATTTCAAAATGTTAAAATTATGATCAGTGGGGTTGGGTAAGGTCGCAATATGTATTAAAAGGGGGAAATCTGGTAAAGAACAGAATGGTCAAAGCTTCTCAGGTGAGCGATGTGGCCCATGGGCTTCTTGTTTTTTTTTTCACGCTACCCGCGTAGAAATGTGTATATGCCATGAAAGGGATTAAACACAACTTGCAAGAATATTGTTGTTGGAATGAATACTAAATATTAAGAAAATATGATGTGAGATTTGCATTACTCAAACTGATAACATTGGTCGAGGTGAGCTTCGTAATCTTTGATTACCTATGTTTTATCGTGCCAACGCTTATTATGACACATGACCCTTGTTTTAATTAGATCTCATCCGAAAGACCCGTGACTTTCACATCTCATGCTGCGGATGCTTAGCGAAGGAACACTCATTAACTATGTTTTGTTATTAAGTACGGCTAAGGGGAATCGAACCTGGTTCTATCTATTTACGCTCTACCGCTAGGCCACCATGACTTCTAAAAACAAGCTTGACTGTATCAAATTCAAACAATTATGATAGAAACCAAATAAGGGAATATATTTCGGGAAACTTGTCTAATCCAGTTTTTGTGTAATCCGAAATGTTGCTTAATACGTTGTTAACTATAAGACCATTTCAGTGAATTTATTTATTTATTTTTTTTTTATTTATTATTTTTTTTTTGTATACAAATTTTATTTCACAGACCTATGTTATAACACAAGAATTCCCTACTCAAATATTTATGGCAGTTGCCAGGGATGGGGCCCTGACTAAACTCCATCTAAATAAAATTACAAAAAATACTAGTGATTCTATATCACCTCGCAGGATGATTATTGATATTGTAAGACGAATAGCGTACATAAGTAATAATAGTTACATTGTTTTTTATAAACAAATAATGTTTATAATAGAATGTTTTTTATATATCTAAAATATAAGTAATTGTAGCGTACATAAGTAATAATAGTTACATTGTTTTTTATAAACAAATAATGTTTATAATAGAATGTTTTTTACATATCTAAAATTTATAATTTGAAATTGAAATTATTTGAGTAATTGAAAACATAATTATATTAATTTTACAATCAATATATAAGAGGAGTATATGAATACACATTCCCATTGTTGTCTAAAGGGGAGATCACATACACTCGCTCAGTCCTTGGGTTCCCCTTCAGCAGCACTACTAGAGGGACTGAAACCGCTAGTAGCGGGACTTATTTAACTTATAAAACTAAATTCTAAATGTATTATTGATATACATATATGTATTTTCATACAAATACAATTTACAGTAATTTTGTAAACTTATCAATAATATCAACATTAAGTGAATAATTACAACATTTTATTACTTTGCACCAAAAAACTGTGGATTTTTTTATATTATGTAAAATATTATATTCAGTTTCATCGAGATTTTCCATTCTACAGAACATTTGTATTTATATATCTTTAATGCAATAAAGGAAATAAAATTATTCAAAAAATATGTTTTCTTATTACATTCTAAGTAAAAACCAATAATAATGTCTTCCCATTGAATTTTAATTTTCAACACAGTGGAAGCTATATCCCAGATATATTTAACATTTCTACATTCAAATATAAGATGTTGCATGTCTTCTACAACAGAACAGATAGAACACTTATCTGAGGTTTCTTTTTTCCATTTTACCATATATTTTTTACAACAAAGTAAATTGTGTAGTAATTTGTAATTGAATTCTGCAATGTTTTTATCTACAGCTACTTTAATCTTTTGCTGATAAATAGATTTCCACATTTCTTGATTAACATTGAATGTTTCTCCAAGTAAACGCTGATGTTTTGGCGGAGAAAATTTCTTACTTAAAAGGACATTATAAAAAAAAAATGACACTTCTTACTTTCAATCTTACAATAGTTTCCATGAAAATTAAAATACCTTTTGTTCTTTATATTAATGAATTTATGTTGGTGTTATCCATTTTTTCTCTAATATATTTAAAAACAGAGTAGATTATTTTATATTCACACAATATATTTGACTTTTTTTGAATTTCTTCTCCTATATTTTCGATAGTTTTAAAACCAGCATCTGAAAAGAGGTCTTTTACATATTTTATATTTTTAACCCAGTGTTTAAAGAATATCGTTTTCCCCTTAAATAAAGAGTCTATTATTCCATAATGGTTCTTGTAGAATTTCGTTTATATTCATCCTTTTTAAGTCAGGAATTTTTTACATTGATTAAAATAAATAAAAATTTCTTTATAAAACAATGGTGATCTTTTAAATGGGTCAAAGTCGTTTAGATCACTGCTGTTGGTTTTTAATATATATTCATTTTACATTATATGTCTCTAATAAATTCTCAAGGTGAGAGTGCAAAGAGTTGTGATCAGCATTATTTATAAGGCGTGGTATCCAAACAGCTTTTAATGCTTGGAACTTAGTAAGTACGTCAACTACCCCAATCCCCCCTTCTTCTATTTTGCCAATTAATGTATTCCGTTTAATCCTGTCTCTGGAGTCCCAAAGGAAGTTGAAAATTAATTAATTTTTTTTTTATTCGTTTTCTTGTGGAATAGGTAAAATAGACGCAACATAGATAAATTCACTAATACCTAAGCTGTTTATTATTTCAGTCTTGCCAAAAATTGTGAGTTTTCTTTTTTTCCAGGATTCAAAGAGTTTTTGCATATTTTCGCATTTATCAACCCAATTTTTTCTATAGCATTCATCTTTATTTACACCTATGTATATGCCCAAACATTTAAGAGATGAAGTATTTACTTTTATACCTTCTATTTTTTCTCCGACACGACTCAATGCTCCTGTCAAGATGCATTCAGTTTTATCTATATTCAACTTGGATCCGCCATCGCCTTTCTAATATAAAAGAGAGATAACTGCTACTCTCTGTGAAAAACTCATTTGTTCATTTTCAAAAATATTTTTCAATGCTTCGTAAAACAGAAGTTGTATATCATTCCAAAAACGTTGATAAAATTCGTCTGTGAGACCATCTAAACCGGGCGATTTGTTAGGTTTTAGATTAAACACTGCTTCAGAACATTCTTCTGCAGAAGGAAATTGTTCACAGAAATTAGCATCGCTTTCGCTTAGTGTATTTTCCAGTTCAATTGAAGATAGATAATTGTCTATGCCATCGTCAGATATATTATTTGAAGCGTATAGATTTTCATAAAATTCACACATATCACCTAAAATGTCATCTGTAGTCTCTATATTATTGTTATTTATCTTTAATTCTTTTATGACATTTTGTTTTTTTCTGCTTTTTTCTAAATTAAAAGAATATTTTGAACATTTTTCACCCTCTAATATCCATTTTGATCGTGATCTTACAAAGGCACCTTTACACTTTTTGTCATTAAGCTCATCTAATTCTCTTTCTATTTTGCGTTTTTTATTCATGTCAATATTTTGAAAATCTGATTCTTCTATTTTATCTAATTCCTTTTCTAAAAAGTTGATTTTTTGCTTAATATTTTGACTTGATTTTTTTGCGAATCTAATAGAAAAATCTCTTGCTTTAATTTTGAAAGATTCCCACCTATCTATCGGGTTTACCTGTTGTTTTTGTAGCTCACTTATTATATTTTTAATTCCTTTTTAGCTCACCTGAGCCGAAGGCTCAAGTGAGCTTTTCTGATCAACATTTGTCCGTTGTCTGTCGTTGTTGTCGTTGTCGTTGTAGTTGTCGTCGTTGGCGTCGGCATAAACTTTTCACATTTTAATCTTCTCCTTGAGAACCACTGGGCCAATTTCAACCAAACTTGCCACAAAGTATCCTTAGGTAAAGGGGATTCAAGTTTGTTCAAATGAAGGGTCACACCCTCTTTCAAGGGGAGATAATTATGAATTAGTGAAAAATTCGGGTTTACCTGTTGTTCTTGTAGCTCACTTATTATATTTTTAATTCCTTTTTAGCTCACCTGAGCCGAAGGCTCAAGTGAGCTTTTCTGATCAACATTTGTCCGTTGTCTGTCGTTGTTGTCGTTGTCCTTGTAGTTGTCGTCGTTGGCGTCGGCATAAACTTTTCACATTTTAATCTTCTCCTTGAGAACCACTGGGCCAATTTCAACCAAACTTGCCACAAAGTATCCTTAGGTGAAGGGGATTCAAGTTTGTTCAAATGAAGGGTCACACCCTCTTTCAAGGGGAGATAATTATGAATTAGTGAAAAATTAATGTCATCTTTTAAAAATCTTCTTCTCCAGAACCAATGGGCCAGGAAAAATGAAAGTCATGTGGAATCATCCTCAGGTAGTGTAGATTCAAGTTTGTTCAAATCATGACCCCCAGGGCAAGGGTGGGGCCAAAATGGCCGACCCAAGTTTTACATAGGGATATATAGGGAAACCTTTTAAAATCTTCTTTTCAAGTACTTCAAAGCTATGATTAGTGATATTTACTGTAGATCACTAAATTTTTGCGACACCTTATTTTCGCGAGATAATAATTGACTCTTGATTAGCGAGACAAAATTTTCGCGAATTGTGGTAATTTCTCTATATAATCTTTAGAAATACTATTGTACGCGAGAATTAAATTTTCGCGAGCACACTGTCTCACGTAATTACGCGAAAATAAAGGAAGTATATGGAATCATCCTCAGGTAGTGTAGATTCTAGTTTGTTCAAATGATGAACGCCTGGAGGGGGGGGGGTAAATTCAAGCCTGATGTGCTCAGGTGAGCGCTGTGGCCCCTGGGCCTCTTGTTTATATTCTACATCAGTTAAATGGGAATTGTTTAATTTCCAGTACCCACTCCCTTGTGTTTTCTCATCTTATTTAAATGATATTTTTAAAACCCTATGATTGGACATTCTTTTTCCGTTTATTTGTTATCTTTTCTGTAAAATTTTCTTCTCTTTGAAACCATTTGTAACCAGATTAGACAAGTTTTATATATGTCGTTAAAGTGCACGTAAAACGTCCACGCAATATTTTTTTCAGATTTAATTCTTAAAACAAATAACTTATAACAAATTTGATCACTGTGGATTAGTTTTCACTTCCATTGGTAGTTCCATTTAGAGAGCGTTTACCGTGATGTGCACACTCACATGAGTTATACATGCTGTCGCTGGGGGTGTTATATCCATTACATGAAACAATCTCCCACGTCACTTCCGGGTTGTTCCAACCTAAATTTGAAATTTGATTGGCGCCATTTTCCAAGTCGAAATGGGCCACATATCCGTAGTCGTTGTGTCCGTTACCATAGGGACCAGTTCCCTGGTTACACCAGTTCTGGTTGGGGTAAACATTGGGACACAGGTTGGTTACCATGAAAACCTGAGATTGCCCTGAAGGACCTGGTCCTCCCTGGCCGGGCACCCAGCCCCCTTTAAAAATAAAATACACCCCATTATTCAGAGATAGTTCCGCCTCCATAGATTCTCTTTAAATACAAGTGGAGGTATTCTACATTTTAACAGAACTAACTGCTTTTATTTTGATGCCAGGTGTTAAAGTCCACAAATGCACACGAAAAAAATGAAAACAGATTAAATTAAACGAAAAAAGTTTAAGATGGTAATTTAGATTATTAACTGATTTAATTATGGTGCAGTTTTCAACCACCCTTATGATAGATGCATTTGGCGCATTTACTTGTGTTTGTCCTTTTAACCTATGTACCTGTGATTTCAGTTTTGAATTTGAATTACCATATGGATGTCAAACTTGTGGTTGTCAGTTTACCCCAGGTTTGCGATTTGAAGCAATATGTTGAGTTTGTCATTTTGACGCATTTACCTGTGTTTGTCATTTTGATGCATTTACCTGTGTTTGCTATTTTGACGCATTTATCTGTGTTTGTCTTTTTGATGCATTAACCTGTGTTTGTCTTTTTGACGCATTAACCTGTGTTTGCCATTTTGACGCATTTACCTGTGGTTGTAAGTTTTACACATTTTCCACATCTCTGACCACACCATCCGCCGTATCCTTCATCAAAGAACATCTGGTTAGGGGCGGTGACGAAGTGGTCATGGTTCCAGCCAAACTGGCTGTCTCCGTGGCCGCACCCACACGCCCCCTTGTGGTAGTCAGCGTAGCGCGTTGTGGAGGCACACCGCTTCCCATTGTACATTCTGGGAGAACCCTGACATTTCTGGTCACAGCTCACATATGCCAACCCTGAATGATTGAGAAAGTCATTGTATATGATAAGTCAAAAAATATTATGAGATCTTTTGAAAAAAATTGATGAAAGGGATCAAAATTGTTATAATTATTTTAAAAAAAATGTCATTTGAACCGATCAATTTCTGTTACATCAAAATATTTCAAGTACAATTTAAGGGAAATGAATCACCATATGCTAGTAGCTGGTTGCAACCAGCTTGTTTATAAAAGACACACGAATTGGTGCTCCTTCAAACAATATGACATATCTAAAGTAAGTAAGATAACCTGTATATAAGTATCGTTTTTACATGTTGTATATTGAATGTGAAAGTCTATTCTACATTTTACCCTAATATTTAAGATTTATGTATATATTTATTTATTCTAGCATAGCTTTCGATCTTAAGTTAAAAGTACGTGAATATGAATGATTAGATCAAAAAGCGACAAATAAAAAAAAGAGACAAATAAATGGATTGAAACAAAAAAAAAGAAAGAAGAAAATATACAACTGTGATGAAATAGAGTTAAATAAGTAGTTACATGAAATTAAGTAAAATTTTCATTAGTTTTTTGGGAGTTGAACTATGTTCAATCTCCCATGGTTATCACGTATTTTAAAACATGCGCAGTAATTTGTGTTGATTATATAGAGCCGAAAGCGAGGCTACTGTGTCGGCTGATTTACTCCGATGATTCTCAACAGAAAACATGCATAAACATCCGCCACAAATAGTTCATGTCATTTTCTCCTGAATTGATCTAATTTTCATAATTTGAAATGTAAGTGAATGTAATAATGATAAAGTAATCTTATTCTGAATATTAGATTTCGTTCAAAGTAAAACTAAATTATAAAGAACCTCAAAAGTTTTTCGTTATGGAACTCATTTTTTGTGTGGCGTCATACACTGAAAAAGATAAGATCGACAACTCTACATACTAACGGCAAGCGGTAAATCTAGTCGTCCCGACGCCCGACGGTGCAGGATTTTTAGCAATTTCTTTTTTACCCGTGCACAAAATTTATTCAAACTTTTCATGAACATTTTCTTGGTTTAAATGAATTCATTAATGCATAAAAACTTTAGGAAACATGCGTATTTATTACTAAATCAGCAGTATACCTGCCAAAAGCGGTAAATCTAGTACTCTGTTATAAATGTTAAAACCAAACGGACACTGATGTTTTCGTAAAATCATTTCGTAAAAACAACAAAATGATTTTTTTTTAAAGGAAAACCACATTTACATACCAGATAACTCGTACGCGCACAAACTCTCACATATACCACTGTTTTTGTGTTTGATCATTAAATATTTGTTTTAAACTTGGTATTGCTTTTTTCTTCACAATATTAAAAAAGATAAAGTTCTGACGTACTTCATGTATAAAGTTCGTGTAATTGAAATACATTTATATTCACAGAGAAGTTTTACATAACAAACCTGTTAGCTCTTAAAAGGATGCTGTGTTAAAATCCATATTTTATCAACATTGACACTATTCCTGCGAAACTGAAATTTTCATATCTTACAAATTTGAAGACTGTGAGCAGTGAATTATATAAATGATCAACCGCCTCTAATATGAATATAATGCCAATGTCCATGTTTTGCAATGGGAAACCCAAAATATGTGTAGGATGGAAAGTAATAGAAGGTGCACAACGGCAATATGTAATAAAGATTCTATGAAAATTTCTTTCAGTGGTGTAAGAGGAGTTGCTGATAAGAGATGGGTACACCTAAAGCGTTATAAACAGATAGACGGAAATCCAGATTAATAAATACCCTCCCGCTTTTCAAGCAGGGGGTATAAAAAAGGACTAATGTAGGCAGGCAACAATATGGCCCCTGCATTTTTTTGCTATTCAATGTCTCTGAATGTCTTTCTCAAGATTTTTGCAATTCAAAAAATCTGAAACAGTTGTCTGTATTTGAAATAATAATATTGTTCACTCACTTAACCTCCCGATCAAAGATTTTATTTAACACCACGTTCAACTCCCATGAGTGCTTTCAGTACTTTGATTATGTAATTAGCGGTGATATTAACCAAAAATAATTTTAAAAAAAACTGCCATGGGAATTGATCTTTAAAATAATAATTGCAAATTAATATTTCTCTTATTAGACTCACCAAATATTAAAAGGCAGATCAAAGCTCTCATGATGGAAGATAGCGTCGATCAGAATTAAGTAATAGATAATATTTCCTCTAGTGTTCCTTATATATAGAAGTTTTGAATATAGGGCATGACAATAGAATGTCGGTCTTCCAAAAATATATTCGTCCGTTATCTACGACGCCCAGAGAAACAGGCAGAAATACTGAGATTTTAAATCTAAAGAAACATTTACATGTATATTACAATTTGTTAATCACATTTTTTTTCTATTCAGAGAGCAAAATACTGTTAATATCGCATTTAAAATCAAAAATATGTTATCAGGTCATTATGCAAGATACATGTGACACAACATTACAAAAGCAATTGTAAGTACTTCTGAAATATGGCCGAGCATAGGCCTAAATTTGCAGCCCTTCACCGGCAATGGTGAAATATTCTGGAGAGGGATGTTAAACAGTATACAATCAATCAATGTATTGTAAATTGATAAACTGTCTTTGATATATCTGTTAGACTGATGAGTTGAAGACCTCTACAGATCGTGCATTAGGGTATCACGTGACACAGACGGGTACCTGATAGGGAAAACTTTAGGAAAGTAAATGCAAGGCCTGTTTGATCTAATAATATTGGAGTATATTGATTCCATAATATTAGTGAAAAAAATATTAAGGTTCATTGATACTCTGATAAGAGAGATAACTCTTAATGACATTATCCCTTGGTTTATAAATATTGGCCATCTATGTTATAATTATTTGTATTTTACTTATAAATCACATTTCTTTTTCGAAATCATTTCGTTTCAAGCAACATATGAGTGAGCAGAGGGTTTATGAACCTTAATTTAATTCAATTCAATAGTTTATCTGTAGTTTATTCAACGCTTTTGCTGTAAAGTAGGTCAATGTTAGCAGCGTTCAGAACGTATATCTTTATGTTCTATATTTCAGGGGTTAATATATAAAATGTTACCATTCACTGTACAGATAAGTAATACAGAACAATACTCATGCAGAGCGGCGATAAATTTATACTTCTGTCGATCGTCCACGTGTGTCTTTTATGGTGAAAGTTTCTAGTAATAATACATTATAAAGACTTCTTCAATAAATATTGCTGAGTATTTAAATACTACATGTACTAGTATCAAAAACTTTTCGACTACAAGGATGTATAAGAAAGAAAAAATATTAATACGACTTCTCAAGTTATAATTTTTCAAATACAAATATCTCAAAGTCCATAGAACAATACAAAATAAGAGCAGAGCAAACACGAACCCCCTAAACATCAGAGGTGGGATCAGGTGCCATGGAGGAGTGAACATTCCCTGCCCACCGGTCACACCCACCGTGCACTGAAAATTTAAGTTAGTCACAATGACCTAAAAAAATAATCAGATTGATTGTCCTCCAGATGAGGGTGCCTTTAGTCAATTAGACGATGTGTTGAGCTCATTTTGACGACTCGAGAAAAATCATACTGACTGACTCGATAGTGTACCTTGACTAATTGAAAGTCACCATGAGTACACTATAGCGATTTTATTTGACTGTATTCTTGTCATAATGATAGATTCCGATATTCAAAGTGATTATCATTTCATATCAAAATGACTGTAAATTAGTTATATTTCTAGGCATTTTGACGATATTGGAAATCATGATGAAGATCACGCATCAATGCCCTTCAAATAAAAAATATAACAACTATACAACTAAAATTTGAAATATTTATTATAAAATTTCATAAATATGGTTATTTCATGCACCAAATAAACACAAATAATAAACTGATCATCTTAAAAAACATAAGATTTGCATAAAGACATTGTAAAAATTTAAAAGAGACAGACACCTACATATATAGCACACATAGATATTTATATATTTTGAAGCAAATTAGTTTTACTGTTTGTAAATGATTTCTAATCAATCAAAGAAATAACTTCAGGAAACAGTCTCTCGTTGCACCCTTTCAGTTGTTGCTTTGTTTTCCTACCTCAAATATATTTACTGGTTGTTTTCTTCTTTGATCATTTCAAATTCTTTTTCACAGGTCCTGCAATGAAGAATAGTCTTTATAATTTACTAAATTTGCGTATTTAAGTTGCTTGATGGCAAAAGTAAAGTATATGAAAACAAAATTTATTTATAATGAAAGGAAATCAAGATATAAATTTAGTTAAATACTAGTAGCTATTTATGCAGTATTAAGATGAAAATAACGGGTACCTTTAGTCGTTTAATTAAAATGACTAAAAATTACGTTTACCTTAGCAAACATGGCACAAGTGAATGAAATCATCATCAGTTCTGTTTTCTTCTTGTTTGGCTGTTTTTGTCAGAAATGGGTTAACTACAAACCATTGTGATTTTATTTTAAATGCTTTTAACATATACATGTATTATGAATAAAAAAAATGGAATAATACGAATAATATTTGGTGAAGCAGGCCAGTATAGTAAGTGGAGAGTTAGTACATGTACATAAGGGACTAGTCGATTTGTATTTTCTTTTATAAAATAGAATGTTAAAAAATAACAAGTTCTATGTAAATCACCATTATACTGAAAATATAAGCTATCAGTACGTGTAATCCTACCTTATTTCTTTTATTCATGGTAACTTCTTCGTGTACCTAATGTGGTTTTCATCTTGTCTGTATTCCTAACAATGCATTGTATTTTGATATTTTTGTCCATTCAGTGGTAGTTGAGAGTCCATGCCATACTGTGAGTTGTAAAAGAATAATACTTATGTAATAATCGTTGAATTTTAGACCAAGTTCGATTTGAGCTGTTTGCATTACCGTAAATCTGGAAATTTTTACGTCGATTTATTTTTGCGAATTTGGGTCAAGAAGCTATTGATTAATTTTTACGCTTCAAATTTTTGCGAATTGTCACTGGCGCTTAAAATAAAAATCACATAAGATTTTCATATCAGTTTATATATCTATGTTTCAATTTAGTATGCACAGTTAGGATCCCACCAATATATACTCGCAACGTGGCAAGAAATTGCAGAATCGCTCCAAAACAATTTTGAAGATAAAAATACAAAAGGATGTGCAATGAAAATAACTTTTTAATCAATGATTAACACCATTTAGGATTTTGTGTATGCCTTTTTACCTAAAATATAATTTAAATAAAGAAAAAAAATATATTATTAATTTTCTCAACGTTTGGTTTTTTTTCACCTAAAATTTACACGCCGTGTTTACATTTGGAACTCTCTAGTAAGAGCACTGAGTTCGAGTTATCGTCCGTTTTGATACATGGTTGGATAAAATAACTGTCTCAGTGCTTGTCAAATCATCGGACGATATAATGAGGGCAATTTACACGCACGGGTAATTAGCTTGTAGGTACAGTAGAAAAATAAAGAGGTTTCTATTTAAAAATGACCAGTGCTTACCGACACCTTTTCAATGAGTTAAAAATAGATACCAACTTTCAGAAAAAAATCTTTGCATGTTGATTTATTTTTAAGAAATATATTTTTGCGAATGCATTGCACACGCAAATTTGCTAAAAATTTATCTACAGTAAAAATTTCCAGATTTACGGTAATTGAATATGCAAAAATCTGCTTGAACACAATCAACCCATATCCTAACCTACATGTATCATAATAATGTAAAATACAACAATTAGAGGGGGAAATATCGAGTACTTTGTTTATTACAACATCATTTCTCTGTAGAACATTTTTTGAATAAGCTTTCTTTAGAATTATTTGTCTAAAACAAGAAAACAACAAAAAATGACTTACCATCACTTCGTGTTTTCCTGGGAGGAAAATGGCGACCGACGCTATTGTTTCTTCCCGCCAATAAATATAAACAAAATGACCAGTCACAAGTCAAAGTTGACCAGAGACTGGTAATGTTGAGGAAACAGATAGTCAAATTATGTATTGACTAACTGGACGGAAGAAAATGACTTCAAATCTGGTCAACGTGACAAATTTATGTTTTCAGTGTGTGCTTCTTGTCATGATCATGATCGGGAAATAACGGAAAAATCCGTCGTCAATTTAGTGTTTAAATAAGGGACTAACAATTGGGTATGAAAAACGCCAGTCAGCATTTGACTTAATGATAAATTGTATTTGCTGACAAGGTCATTGTATCGAATATAGAACTTACGAAATGATGACTTTAAACGAGACTTTTAGAGTAATGAATCACGTTAATTTTATCAAAGAGCTTGTTTGAGAGATTACCATCAACATCAAATAAAATATCTAAAAATGAAACCGATGTGTCAAACTCTGGTTTAAATAATGATCTCGAGTTATAGCGTTTCCAGTCAGTATTTTTGAAAATCTAAGAACAGAAAATAAACATAAGGGGGATATGAAGAGCTTGCAGGCTAAGGGAGGGAAATATTCTCTTATTTGAACTTTTGGGTTGGGGCATTATCTCTCAACATTGAGAGATCCAAAATATAAGGTTTTACGATTTTTTTTTGTATTGCTGTTTAGATTTCTGCAAACATTTACATATGTTATCTTTTCAGTAACATTTTTTTCTTGAAGACAATTACAAAATGAATTCTTACAGCCCAACTCATTTTTTTGTACTTTGCAAATGCGTGAACTAGATACATTTACTAGAAGGCCATAATAAAAATATTCCTAGATTCTCATCCCCGCCCGCCCCGATTTTAAACCCCCGCCTCGATTTTTTTTATTTCTGTTTTTCTTCGTCTTAATTCTGATCGGGATCGGTATTCATCTATCATTCTACTTTCGTTTTAAATCCCGCGAATGTCAACATGATTTTGACAGCTGAAAAGATGGTAATTGCTGTATTACACGCGTATATATTTTAAACAAGTGTAGTGGTCCTGGAGGAGCTGGGAACGATTTCTCTAGTAACCTCCAGACCACGTGCCCGGCAGTGATGCGGGCTGTGACGTAATCGTCACTCTCTCTGATTGCTGATTGTCGACCCGTTCAGACGTGTTTACCAATCCTCTGTAAGTCACTGTATTATTGTTGATATATTATTGGCGACCACTAATAAACGTGCGGAATTTTACCATAGTGTTTCTGTATCCGCCATCACAG